TGGCGGGATCGGGCCTCCGGGAGCGCCGTTGTCTGGCCCAAGAGGCGCCGAAGACGGTCCAAGCGTGCCTCGAGACGCTTACGATCGATCCAAGACGCCCAAGATGGCTCCCAGACGGCCCAGGAGGCCTCCAAGATGTCCCAAGAGCCCCAAGAGCATTCCCAAGAGGGCTGCAAGAGGCCGAAATCATTGATTTTCGTTGTTTTTGTTGAAGGTTTTTGGTATTCTTGGTTTTTCGTCGTCCCGATCCTCCAAGACAGCCCACGAAGTCCCCAAGACCGTCCCAAGATCGCCCAAGAGGCCCCCAAGAGTGCCCCAAGACGGTCCAAGAGGGCCTAATAATAACCCAATAGGCGCCTAAGACCGCCCAACACCTTGCAAGCACGGCCCACGAGGCGTCGAAGACAGTCAAAGCGTGCCACGACGCGCCTCAGACCGCTCCAAGACGCCCAAGATGGCTCCCAGATGGCCCAAGAGGCCTCCAAGACGTCCCAAGAGAGCCCCAAGAGCATTCCCAAGATGGCTGCAAGGGGCCGAAATCATTGAATCCCGTTGTTGTTTTGCAGGTGTTTGGTTTTCTTGTTTTTTCGTCGTCCCGACCCTCCAAGACAGCCCACGAAGTCCCCAAGACCGTCCCAAGATCGCCCAAGAGGCCCCCAAGAGTGCCCCAAGACGGCCCAAGAGGGCCTAAAAGCAACCCAATAGGCGCCTAAGACCGCCCAAGAGCTTGCAAGCACGGCCAAAGAGGCGTCGAAGACGGTCAAGGCGTGCCTCGACGCGCCTAAGACCGATCCAAGACGCCCAAGATGGTTCCGGGATGACCCAAGTGTTGCGTCCAAAACGTTCCAAGACAGCCCCAAGAGCATTCCCAAGAGGGACCCAAACAGCCAAAATCATTGCTTGCCTCCAGGCTTTTAAAGGTTTTTGGCTTCCTCAATTTTTCGTCGTCCCGACGCTCCAAGACGGCCCAAGAGGCCCCCAAGACCGTCCCAAGCTGGTCCAAGAGGCTCCCAAGAGAGCCCCAAGACGGCCCAAGAGGCCCCAACGACGGCCCAATAGGCGCCCAAGACAGCCCAAGAGGCTCCACACATTGCCCTCAGACGCGCCCATGACGGTCCAAGCGTGCCTCGAGACGCCTAAGACCACACCAAGACGCCCACGATCGATCCAAGACGCCCAAGATGGCTCCCAGACGGCCCAAGAGGCTTCCCGGCATGGGAGTACCGGGGCTCATCATTTTCCTTGTGTTTTTACAGAGTTTCCGCGTCCTGGGCCTTGGAGGCCGCCGCCTCCGACCCCCCGTGGGAGGACGGGGCGGCCGGGGAGGACCAAAACAGTCCAGGAGGGCCTCCAGAGGCTCCCAAGACGGCCCAAGCGGGCCCCGAGTCGCCGAAAGACCGCTCCAGGACGCCCAAGATAGGCCCAAGACGGCCCGAGAGGCCCCCCAAGGCACTCCACGACGCTTCCAGACGCCTCTCCAGAGCGCTTCAAGAAGCCGTCAATTTTACGCAGGTTTTCGAACGATTTTGGCCTTCCAGCCCGTTCGGCTGTCCGACGTTCCAAGACGGCTCAATAGGCCCTCAAGAGCGTCCCAAGACGGCCCAAGAGGGCCCCAAGACGGCCCGAGAGTCGCCCAAGACAGCCCAACAGAGCCCCAAGACGGCCCCAAGATACGCCCAAGAGGGGGACCACGATTCCAAAATTCGACCCTTCCGCTTGAAGAGTGCCCCAGGAGGCCCCAAGGAGCTCCCAAGAGGCCCCAGGAGGCCCCCAAGGCACCCAGGAGGCCCAAACGAGGCTTAAGGAGGCCACAAAACAGCCCCGAGGAGGCCCCACAACCGCCCAAAACGGCTACCCAGAAGCTGCGAAACTGCCTTCACGACGTCCCCGACAGGCCAACCACGAGATCCAAACCAACACCCATGAGGCCTCTGACCCACCACCCAGGGCACTGTGGCGGGAGCAGTGACAGCACTTGTGCACAGCATGTTCCGGCGGGAGCCTTCCGGAACACTCTGCAGGAGGAGGAGGAGGAGGAAGATCAGGAGGAGAGAGAGCTGGAGTGGGAGGAGGAGGAGGAGGAGGGGGACGAGGAGGAGGAAGAGGCCTCCAAGACAGCTCCAAGATAGCCGAAGAGGCTTCCAAGAGGGCCCTGGGCGGCCCAAGAAGGCGGTGCCCAAGGCGGTGCCTGAGGCGCCCAAGAAGGCCCGAGAGGGTCCCAAGACGGCCCCAAGAGAGGCCCAAAAAGGGAAACACGAACTGAGAATCCGAGCTTTCTACCCCGAGAGGTTCTCGGGAAGTCCCAAGAGGCCCCCAATCGGATCCAAGAGGCCCCCAAGAAGCTCCCAAGAGGGCCGATGAGGTTCCAAGAGATCTCCCAAGGTGGCCCAAAGAGGCACAACTCATTGTTTTACGATTGGGCTTTGACGGGTTTAAATGTTTTCGGCCTTTTGGCATCCCGATGCTCCAAGACGGCCCAAGAGGCTTCCAATACCGCTCCAATATAGAGGAAGAGGCCTCCAAGAGGGCCCCAAGACGGCCCGCGAGTGCCCCAAGACGGTGCTTGAGGCGCCCAAGACGGCCCGAGAGGGCCCCAAGAGCCCCAAGAGAGGCCTAAGAAGGGGAACGCGACCCAACAGCAGAGCGTTCCCCCCAAAAGACCCACAGGAGGCCGCAAGAGGACCCCAAAAGCTTCTCGAGGGAACAAAAGGCCCCTAGGAGACGTCCAAGAGGCTTTAAAATAGCCCAAGAGTGCCCTCGATGCGTCAAAACTGCTTCCAGGAGGCCCGCGGGAGGCTTCCGGATTGCCTCAATCTGGCCGCAGGTGGCCTCAAGTCGGGCCTCCACGCAGCCAAGACGGCCAATGACGGCTTCAGATTGCAGAACCGACGCCCCCAAGGGACCCTCAGACGCCCCCCAAGAGGCACCCAAGAGGTGCCTCCAACAGCCAGTTGACGAAGCATGCCGAACACCCCAGAAGCTCCTCAGATGCCGTCGCGCGCCTGTGCTTGATAGCTTTGTCCAAGATCGTCCAGCGCCCCCCCCGGCCTGGGCTGGAACCTGAGCGCGCGCGAAGCGCGCGCGATGGTTCTAGTGTATATATATATATATATATATATATATATGTATGTATGTATGTATGTATATATATATATTGCCGCGAACCCCGACCTCGGAGCACGAGTGGGCGTGACTTGCGAGGAAAGGAAAAGCAAAGAAGAGGATGCCTATAGGGCGCGCAATGCTGATTCCCGTGCTGCCCGCTTGACGCCGCGCCGCGCTCGGGCGCGTTATGTTGGTTCCCGTGCTGTCCGTTTGATGCTGGACTACTTTGTCGGGGCGTTTCCGACCATCTTGGAGCCGTGTTGGGCAGTCTTCGGGCCCTGGGGCGTCTCCGACCATCTCGGGGCCCTCTTGGGCGAGTATTGGGGCTCTCCTGGGGGCTTAGCCGGAAAGCCTAAAACAGAGAAGATTTGAAGCAATTGAAAGAAATATATGAGTTTGGACTATTGGGGGTCTCTTGGGATACCTCTTGGAGGACAAGTGGGTGTGACTTTCGAGCAAGAGAGCAGCAAATAAGAAGATGTCCATAGAGCGCGTGGCGTTGATTCCCGTGTTGTCCGCTTGGGGCTGTGAGGATTTGTCGGGATGTCACCTGCCATCGTGGGGCTCTCTCGGGGGGTCATTGGGGCCGTTTGGGAGGCTTCTGGGGAGTTCCTGGAGGCCTCTTCGAAGCTTTTCGGGGCCTCTTGGAGGCCTCTTGGGGGCCTCCTGGGGGCCTCTTGGGGCCTCCTGGGGGTCTCTTCGGGCGGGAGCCCGGAAATGTCGGTCCCTGCCTCCTCTCCGGGGGCTCTCTTGGAGCGTTCCTGGGGCCTTCTGACGCCGTCTTGGAGGCCGCTGGGGCTGTCCTGAAGGCGTCTTGGACCGTCCCGGCGCTGTCTTGGGGTCCTCTCAGGTCTTGGGGGGATCTTTGGGGTGTCTGGGGTCGTCTTCGAGCGTCGGGAAGCCCAACAGGCGAGAACGCGAAGAACCTTCAAAAACCTGCGGCAAACCGATGAATTTTGACTCTTGGGGCTCTCCCGGGGAGCCTCTTGGAGGCCTCCCAGACCCTCTTCGGGGCTCCCTGGGCCGTCTGGGCCGCTCAGTCGGCGGCACGTGGCCCTCTTGGGCCATCCTACGGATCATCTTGGCGCCGCCCGTGCCGCCCGAAAGCGCGTCCGCCGAAATGGGGCCGTTTTCCGCCTGACTTTTGCCGGCGTTCGTCGCGCGGCCGGGGCCATGTCCCCGGGGTTCCCCCCCCAGGTGAACACTAAACGGGAACCCCTCTCGCAAGGCTGGGGACAAAAGCATCCTCGGCGCGCTGGTCGGGGTCGGAAGTTGCCCAGGCCGCTGCGGGAATTCTGGAGCGGCGAGGGTGGGCGGTTCGCTGGCACCACTACCTTCCGGCTTCTTATCTGAAGCCCTCTTGGCTCGTAAGGGGCTATCCGGGAAACGCTCTTCAATTTTTGAGGCGATGTTGGTTTTCCCAACAGTCAACCCGCAGAGCAAGGACGGGCAGGGTACCCTTGCATCCTTGCCTCCTCGGCGCATCCTTGGCCACTTTTGTTGGTCGCGCCCCGCTCGGGCCTCGCATCCTTATCGCGCATCCTTGTTTTACGGGCTGACTGTATGTTCACATGAGCTGTAGGCAAGCTGCGGAGCTGGCCCCCGGGCACCCACAGCGCTGGGTCCAGGCAGGAAACTGCCGCTCTGCACGGGGGGGCTCGGCGCCCGCGCCCGCGGGGCACGGCCCGCCGCGCGGGCCGCGGCTCGCGGCCCCACCGGGGCCGAGCCGGCGCGCGTGCGCCTGGCAGCCGGAGCGCGCGCTGTCAGAGGGTCTCTCCTGGAGAGAAAGGTGCGCCGACGCTCGAGTCGGAGGAGACCAAAGCCGCCTGCACGGGAGGGCCCCTCCACGCGCGCGCACTTCGGTACAAGCCCGCCTGGCAGCCGAAGTGCGCGCGTCAGAGGGCCCCTCCACGAGGAGGACACCCGCGGAGGATACCAGAAGCCGCCTGCGGGAGGACGCGCCCGGCCGGAGCCGACGCTCGGCGAGCCCCGCGTGGCCGGGCGGCGTGCGGACGGCCTGTGGCTCGGCATCGTCCCAGCTGCGGCAGCAGCGGTGGCGTTGAGCTGCGAGCAGCTCCTTTTGCTGAGAGGTCTGACAGTCTGAGACGATCCTCCTCCTCCTCCTCCTCCTCCTCCTCCTCCTCCTCCTCCTCGTTTCGCGCGCGACTTGGGCGTTTTCTTCGCTTCCTCCCTGTCTCCACCCCCTCTTTCCTCCTCCTTCTCCTCGTCTTCCCCGCAGAGAAGTGGCTGACGATCATGCAGACAGTGTGTGCCGTACTGGAGGCTCGTGCGTTGCGTCAGGTCGCTTGTCATGCCCATGGGACGCGCTGTGCCACTCTGCCGTGGCAGATCGCCGAGATCATATGATCAGACATCGGGTGTGAGACTGCTCGGGCATGCAGCCAGGGCTGGACCTAAACGATGCTTTGCTGGACTTCGGCTTGTTTTCGACGAAAAGCAAAACGAAACCAGAACAAACAGAACACGTTTACGTCCAGCCCTGCATGCAGCATCGTCATCGTCATCATCATCATCATCATCATCATCATCATCATCATCATCATCATCATCATCATCATCATCATCATCATCATCGTCAGCGTCAGCGTCAGCATCAGCGTCAGCGTCAGCATCAGCATCATCATCATCATCATCATCATCATCATCATCATCATCATCATCATCATCATCATCATCATCATCATCATCACTATCATAATGCTCCCCTTCATCTGGACCAGAAGATAGTCAGTCTCGTCTTAATGTGGGCAGTGTAGTCCCGCTCCGCGGGGTGGGGCCAAGATCCCTGGCCCCGCTCCGCGACACATTCGTGACCCCGCTTTTGGACACTGCTGCCGGAAGGCGGCTCGTAGTGTTAGGTCGGGCGTATCCTTCTACAGGAGGACAATTCAAAAATAGTCAAAAAATAGTCGGGGGACGAGTTCACGGAATTTTTGCATCTTTTTGTACATTTTTGACATTTTCCCTCGAAAATCCGCCTGTAGGAGGACACGCCCGACGTGGTCGTAGTGGCATTTGCTTCGTGCCAGTTGGGGTAGACTTCACTTGTACATTCGCCGCGCTTCCATTTTTTAGCCAGCAGTGTAGGACCGCAGCGCTGCCCTTGAAAATGAATCATCATCGTCATCACCATCATCGTCATCAGAATCGTCGTCATCATCATCATCATCATCATCAGCAGCAGCATCATCGTCGTCGTCATCATCATCGTTATCATAATCCTCATCACCATCATCACCCACAACAGCAACATCAACATCATCATACCATCGTCAGCCTCCTCCCCGTCATCATCACCAGCATCATCCTATTGGTCCTGCTCCTCTCGTCCTCTCCTCGTCTTTCGTGTCGTTCTTACTTCCTGGCCTTCTTCCTGGCCCTCAATACCAGCATCATCGTCATCATCAGAATCACCATCATCATCATCATCATCATCATCGTCATAACCGAAATCATCAGCATCCTCATCATCATCATCATCATCATCATCATCATGCGTGCCGCGATCTGTCTGCGCGCCTCGACGGTGCCTCTGCGTCGGAGGCTGCGCTTCCGAGTGGGAGCCGATCCGGGTATGTGGGCACCTGCTCGCACGTGGGATCGGACTCCGATGTCGGCGGCCAAGCATCTAGTCCAGAGCGTAGCCAGGTGCCTTAGGGGCGAGTTGATCTGCTGTCGGCGGCGAGGTGCATCGCTTGCCGCTCTCCCCGCGTGCATTACATGGGCCCGGTGCATGCTGCAATCTGTCTGCCGCGCCTGGCTTTTCGGGCGTCGAGCGAAAGCCGAGCCAGGCGCGTATCCTCGCCGACACGCTGGATCGGGCCCCGATGGCACCGGCAGAGCAAGGTGTCCCTCAATTTGGCCAGGAGCCGAGGGATAGTTGCCCTGCAGTTGCCGAGGCTTCTTGCCTCTCGCCTGTGCGTAGCTCTGGCTCGGTGCACTGGTGCATGGCCTCGCGCTCGGCGCGCTCGTCTCGCCTGTCGTCCAGGGTGCGCTGTCAGCCTCCGCTCTGGGAAGCTGAACAGTGAGCGTAGGTGACTTGCTACCGACGCTCTGGATCGGGCTCCGCGCCATCGCAGATCATCGACGTCCAGTGAGTGGCCTCGCGACGACGGGACGGTGTTGCTCTGCGTTGGATTTCATATTCCCAGCGTCGAAGGAAGTGCACTCTGCGTGCCGTTGTCTGCTTAGGTGGGCGGCAGGCCCTAGCCGCGGCGTGCGCTCTGCTCAATGTAGCTGCGCTGGCGCGTTCCGCGGCAGCGCTCGCCGCTGTGTCAGTGCCGTTCGGGGCAAGACAGCGGAGAGCGAACCGAGGGCGCAGGTGGCTCCGCCGAGGTCCTCGATCGCGCTCCGCAAGCAGCGGCGGCGCGACGATGTCCGCGTGGGTGGCCAGGAGCCAAAAAGGGACTGCGTTGCTCTGCCGATGTGCACTGTTGGCTTCGGCTCGGGCCGTGCGCGCCGAATGAATGCATTGCAGCCGTGCTGCGCGCCAGGCCGCCGGTCGTTGCACTGCCCGCGTGACAAGGCGAAGGCTGAAGCGAGAGGGTCGTTGGCGCCACCGGCATTCTGATTCGCCTCCGAAGGCCATCGCAAAGCAAGATGTCCATCGGGCGGCCTTGTGCCACAGGGGCTGTGCTGCTCTGCTTTGGCGCGCATGTGCCTTTGTTGCGGGCTGAGTCCCCCTGACTGTTCGGATGCCGTGACTACCGCTTGCTTCGGCCGGGGCGGTGGGCGGTTTCTTGGCATTCGCGTGCGTCTGCGAGGGTGCCGCGGGTACCGGACCGTGCGTTGCCGCCGCAGGGCCAAATGGAAACGCCTTGGTCCGAGGGGCACTATGGGCTGGGAGCCTCTGACCTCTTTAGATGCGTGGGTCATCATCATCATCATCACCACCACCACCACCACCACCACCATCATCATCATCATCATCATCATCATCATCATCATCATCATCATCATCATCATCATCATCATCATCATCATCATCATCATCATTATTATCATTATCAACAACAACAACAGCAGCGTCATCATCCTCATCGTCACCATCATCATGACCCTCCCCTTTTGCATCTTGCTCTTCCTGCTCGCCGCCTTCGTCTGCCGCCTCATCTGGCAGCGCCCAGCAGGCGCGAACAACACAGGGTCAGCCGCGATTCGGGACTGGCATCAAGACAGAAACTTGCCGCTGGCGCCGATGTTGTTGCACATGCTGACTTAGGCCCTCGGCGAGCCCTCCTGGTCCGTGGGCCTTCCCAGGACGCCTCCGCTTACCCCCTCCCCCCAGGGGAGTAGCATCCGCGTTCCTGGTGAGCCCGCTCCCTTATTCAGCAAACCTGGTTGTTCCCCAGCATCGAATGTGCAGTTGGTGCACCCGCTTCGGCCCCCAAGAACCCCCCCCGCGATATTGGGCATCGCCACGGCAAACAAGGCCACCACACCCAACTTCAACACCGCAAACATCAAAACTGTAGGCAACCACCACCATCCTTTAAACGACACCCCCGAACACACCCCCCTTCTCACGCCCCAGGCAGTAAACCCCAAACACCAAACCCACGACGCCAAACCCCGAACATGACCCCTAAACACCAAACGTAAACCCCAAACACCAAACGCCACCCTCCAAGAACCAAGCAGCACATGCCAAGCGCCAGATCCCAAACACCCCAAAACCCACCAACAACAAACTCCATTTTGCAAACCCCGAAACACCAAAAATGAATGCCGTCCGAACCGTCCAGCCCCGCCGTGTGGTCCTTGCCTCTGTGTACCTCCTTGGACGGTTTGGGGCCATTTGGGGGGATCTTTGGCCCACAGGCTGCTCTCTGGCGCCGTGTCGTGGTGTTTCGTGCACGAGACACCACGACACCGCGTTTGCTTCTCATCGGCGGCCTTGGAATTGGCCGCCGAATCTTCTCGTCGACCCTTCTGGTCTGGGTGGGAGGCGTGCGCTTCCTCGTTGGGCTCGCAAGTGGGCGCGTCGACGCGGTTGACACTCGGCGATGCCAGGGGGCCCCTCGAAATCTCGAGCCTCGGCACGGGGATCAGAACCTCGCCCGCGCACCGTGGCCGTCCAGGGTGGTCCTGGGGCCGTCGGGGCCCCAGCCTCGGGGCTGCCGCGGGGTGGCCGTGGGGGGCCCTCTCCGCCGGCGACCCCCTGCAGGGGCCACTCGCCGGAGGGGCCTCGCTGCTTCGCGGCTTCCCTCGGCGGGCGGGGGGGGGAGCGCGAGGGTCAGGAGGGAACAAAAACACACCGACACAATCGATCGTCGGCTCCCCCGGAAAGATGGGCGAAGCTGGGCAGTGGGGGGGAGACGAGAAACCAAAAAACACAGGAAAGTATGGGGGATCCTGCTATTTGTGTGTATTTCTTTGTATGTCCCGGGGCCCCTTCCGAGGGGCCGGGCCCCGGGCGCGGAGGAGCCCCCCCCGGTCGGAGCGCCCGCCGGCAGAGGTCCGGGGATTGGCGGTGTCGTCCTCGTTTCGTGCCTCCACGGGCACGCGGGCCGCTCTTCTCGTGCCTCCACGGGCAGGCAGGCCGCCGGTGTCGCATCGCGAGCGAGCGGCATGCTGCGGTCGGGCTGGCGACGATCGGGCTGGCGACGAACCTGCATGCTTCAGGAGGGAAAAACACACACAGACGCAATTCATCGTCGACTCCCGAGAGAATAATGGGGAAATGTGGGGGACTGGGGCTGGAGGCAAAAACCCAGAAAATAGGGGAAAACATGGGGAATCCTTTTAATTACTTGTGTGTATTCATTTGTGTGTCCCCGGGCCCCTCCAATGCTGCGCACCAGATGTCACCCTTGCCCAGGGTCGCTCTCCTTGCGCGTGGCCAGTCCAGGCTCGCTGCAGTTCTCTCGGGGCGCCTGGAAGGGCATCCTCTCTCCCCCCCCTCCCTCTCTCCCTCCCTCCCTTTCCCTCCCCTCGCCTCCCCTCCTCTCCCCTCCCCTCCCCTCCCTCCCTCTTCCCTCCCTCCCTCCCTCCCCCCTCTCTTCCCTCCCTCCTCCCTCCCTCCTCCCTCCCTCCTCCCTCCCCCCCCCTCCCTCCCTCCCTCCCTCCCTCCTCCCTCCCTCCTCCGTGGCATCTTGACTCAAGCTGGTGAGGTTCACGGCGAACCACGTGGCCACCGCAACTCCGCGGCAGTGCCTGCGCCCGTGCGTTCGGGGAGCAGTCGGTTCAGTCAGTTGTCCACAAGTTTCCTCATTGGGCGGTGTGGCAAGCATTGGCA